GTACTTCCATCTCCCCTGCTCGTCGACCCATCCTAGGTCCTTGACCTCCTTGAGCTTGTTGGCGTCCCCTAGGGTGGTCTCCAATCTGGTGGCCAATTCTTTGAAGAGTGCCAGCGCTAGGATGGCCCTGGGTGGTTGGAAGTTGGCTCAAGTCGGCATCTCCTTGATTTTCTGTTTGTACAAGGTTGCCGTCTGGTACAAGAAGTGAAGTACCGAATCTTTGCCCGGCCGCATGAACAGGACCAGCGAGTGATCTCGTTTGAGAACTAGCAGTTCTTCCTCTTGACGAAGCGTGAGCTTGGCCAAAGAAACTAGTAATGAGTCCTCGTTGCGGCTTCCGGTCCCCTGTTGGTTCCATCGTTGGCTTCCCTCTTCCGGTCTCCTCCGCTTGTTCGCCTTGCCTTCCTGTTCGATCTTCACTTCCCCGAAGAACTCGCTCAACGCATCGTCCATGGTCCTGCGTGCTATGACCCTCTTGTGCAAGTAGTACAAGCAACGAGCACTGCCAGGCCACCGTACACTTCAACAGGTGAGCGCGCCAGTCCTTGCACTTCGCCGAACAGTAGTGGCACGTGGGGCTCGCCGTGGCCGTTTTAGAAACCAGCTGTTTGATCTTAACCCCAAGTTTTCCCATGATGTCCGCATGTGAGTACTGAAAATGCCGTTTGAGAGTTTTATGGGATGTGCTCCACTGCCCACATAGTACGCAAGTCTGTCGCATCTTGTGTGTGCATTCATGAAGAGTAATGAAAGCATTGATGCCCTTCTGGGACGCCTGGACCACCTGTGGTTGGCGGCACATGACATCTGCAACACTGTCCTTTCCTGGCATGTTAGAGTACTGATCCGTGGTATCCGGCGAAAGCTCTGATGCCATAAGAACCGGGCAGCTATTTTGATTGATATGAGCTGCGAGCATTTGCCACTTGGAGAACTGTTTCCCACAGCAACGGCAAGTCGGTAGCCCTCCCAATGAATGTTCGGCCTTGTTGAAAATATGCTGATGTTCTTCTCTGATGCCATGTGTGCGTCTAGCATGTGTTTTCAAAGCAGCCGACGAGACAAAGGCCTCCTCACAATGGGGGCACGACCACACCTCAGCCTCCTCAGAATGGATCAGCTGGTCAGTCCTGCGCTCCAACTGTTCCTTGACATGTTGTTGCCATGACGAATCCCACATCCAGTCCTCTCGAACTGTCGCTGTGTGTTGTTCTCGTTCGTGAGCTTCGCGGATGATCTCAATGAAGGGTTTGATCTGGTATTTGTGCATTATACTCTCACGCGTGTCACCCGTGAGGTGCGCCTGGTTGGAGACAATCGCTCGGACATGCTTCATCATCGATCGCTGTGCTTCCTGCGCATGGTCGCCCGTGATTCCACAGCTCTGCAACCCATAAGTCATGGTGCTGAGGACACAGCTTCGCCGCAGCCGCAGCTTGTATGTGATGCCCATTTTGCGTGAGTGCAGAATCGAGGCCATCGCCCACCTCCGTTTATTGGCTTTGGAGACACGGTGGCGCAGCGACTGAAGTTCAAACGATCCATAAGAGATGATCAAGCCCAAATACTCCGTCTGGGGCACCAGCGATATCCATGAAGAGGGGTCCTTTGGGGAGAGCAGGAGTCTGGAAGTCTGCTCCTGACATCTCACATAGTCCTTCCGAACTTTATCCTGCTGAGAGCCCACAACCTTCAAGATGGCCTTGGTCTTCTCGAAGTTGACCTTGAGATTGAAGTTCTGCAGCACTTTGAATGCCGTTCTGGCCTCGGAGATGCATCCTTCAAGCCGGGCAAAGGACTCGAAGGCCCACCGCAGGTGAGTGTCATCCGCGTAAAGAACCGCATGGTTACCCGCCCACGCCTCACCAAGTCGATGTTCAAGGGCGACACAGATGAGTGAGGTGAATGCTGCCCACAAGATGGGTGAGGCAACGCATCCCTGCCTGAGGCCCCACTTGGGCGATATCAGGCCCGTCTTGTCGCGGTGATGGAAGATATACCGGACCTGGACCAGCCATGTGAGTAGGAGATCTTGTAGGTGGATCGGTGTACCCGCTAGGTCCAGTGCCTGCTTTAGGTGATGCCACCTTACTGTGTCAAAAGCCGCACTCAAGTCAAGGCTTATTTGTAGCCCCCCGACGCATTGTTCTTGCTGTAGTCCGGCTGCCCTTTGGTGGAGCGTCAAACGCTCGTTCTTGCTGAGCTCTCTGATCCGGTAGCAGTGACCGAACACCTGCCGTAGAGCTGTACTGGTGCTACGACCAGGAATATAAGCGGTTTGAGGAAATTTGCTAATCAGCGCGATAATCTCCCTCCTCGCCTGCCGGACCAACAAAGTCATGATGCCCTTTCCGAGCGGGTCCTGCAGACCGATTGGTCGATAGTCCAGCGGCGACTGTGATCGCCCATGCGCCTTGGGAAGGAGTGCAACCTCCGCGTCAGACCAACCTTGCTCCACCTCAGGAACCGGCTTTGCCCACTGATGGTTCACGTGTGCGGTCACAGCATCGGCAATCTGTAGGCTGCATGCCCTCAGTAGGATAGTAGGAGCACACTCGCGAGGAACAGCCTTACGCGTGTGGAGACGAAGTAGCACATGAGTCAGGTCATTCGGATCGATGCTCGCTTTTCTATCGAGTCTGTTGCCAACCAAAGGGGGTGTGTCTGAGGCATTCGCTCCATATCTAGCACCGTAGTCATCCAGTATCCACTGCAGCTCCTCTTCAGTACTAATGATGCGCCCGTCCCGATGCAATTGCAGGCGCTTTCTAGGTGCCTTCGGAGCGAGCTGCTTGACCACCCGCCAGAGGCCGAACAAGTTGCCGGTGGCCGCCGAGTCGTGGGCCTGTTGTATGAGATCATCACGTCGCTGTTTAGTTCTTTGGCGTGATTTTTGTTTGTGAAGACGGTGCGCCTGCTGAAACCGTTGCCATAGCCGCCATGCTGTCACCACGCCCTGTGCAGTGCGCCGCTGCTGTCTCATTTGCCGAAACAAACCCCACATGTGCTTTGCTGAATTGGCAAGTTCCTGTGGCTGATCCAGCCTGGGTGGTGCTTTCACCGTCAAAGGATAATGACTGGCGGCTGCCTGCATCAAGTGGGAATGCACATCCTGTATGCCAGCAACCCTGTACGCCACCTCCGCCCGAAGCTTTGCCAGCGCCTCCGTGGTGTGTGGAGCTTGTAAATCCCGCGTCAGGGCCTCCTGATCAAACGTCGGAACTATATCTGCCCTGTGCTGAGCTCGATAAGCCTGCTTAGGCATGGTGAGTGTAGCGACCACAGGGTGATGATTGGCTCCTTCCCGCCATGCACCCACTGGGCCACTGGGAACTGATCCAGGATTTGTGCCTTGCGGGCCCTGGCGTCAGCATGTTGTTGTCGGATTATCAAGAAGTCAATCTGCGAGGCAAGCTTGCCGAAAGTGAAAGTGGCTAACTGCCCATGTTGAGGCCGACACCATGTGTTCAGCACGCATAGATGTAAGGTGCGAAGCACGTTCTGCAAGTCCTGATGATCCCGGTAGTGAAGCAGGTTGTGGTTCAGCACACACTGACCGCATGTGGACTTATACGGTTCACACGGGCAATTGAAGTCACCTCCCAGTATGAAATAGTTCCTCCTTGGTAGCCCAGCCAAGCACCTTTGCAACGTGGTGAGCAGCGCAAGTCTTCTCTCATAGACCCCTTCTGCGTCGCTCACCGAGTACTGATAAAGGTTCAAGAGGTCGATGTGCGCTGGCCCCTTCGGAATTCGGACATGTACCAAACGGCCGGGGTGGAGTATGTTAAACTGAACGTCCCTCGCCTGAGCATGGCGCACGGCGATCATGATCAGAACTCCTCCGGTGCGGTCCTCTTTCCGAATGCCTTGACTATGCACATAGTGAAAAGCTGAGCTCGACCACGTTGAGTCGTGACGCCAATGCGTCTCTTGTATGAGCACCGCATCATACTGGTACAACCTTGCGTAGGTTTCGATTTCCTGCCATGTACCAGAAGTTAAGCCCCCGGCGTTCCAGCTGAGAACTCGCCATCCTTGTCCAGAGCCATCCGGCATGTGAGTCCTGCGACCCGTTGTCTGCTCCGGAACATGTCTCGGTTGAAACCATCTCAATGGTCTCCAGTGTCCTCTGAAAGTCGAGCTTCCCGTTCTGCAAGCCCTGGCGTAGGCACGTCTATATGATCTTTTGCCACTTCTAGAGAGGTGTTCCTGGGTTACGGACGTGCTAGTCCTCCGTTCTCCACAATGCTTTGCCCCCGAACTTGGTTCGAGAACTATTGGCACCGCTGTGGATGAAGCGCCAACCCTCACATCTGCACCCCCGGCATTTGCAGTCTTCAGCAACACACCGTAAATGAGAAGAAAAAGCAACATGTGTGCTCTCTGCCTCCGGGTAGTACGACCGGACTTGGGACCGATCCAGCTGGTCTTTGTCGGCTGCGAACAGCCTTTCATGAGAATGGTGATTCTGTGCCATCCTGTTTCTGCAACGTGAACTAGACGTACAACCTCTCGAGTAATGGCCTTCACCGCCGGCATTGGGATGCCGATGTGGTAGTAGTCCTGGTTCCTGACAGCCACAGCGAAGATCATTGCCAAAAACTCAAGAATCCACTTGCAGGGATTGTTGCACCAGGGCACGGCTGTATGCTGGCATGCGTTTGCGTCTGTTTCTTCTCCTGCCTCGTGGGGATTCAGGTTGGGAGGGCGGCGAAGGCTTAGGCCTATCCAGGTTTGAGGTGCTGGTCTCCTCATCGGAGAATCTATCAGGCTTGTGAACCGCGTACGCCTCAGTGCATTTATTGAGGCCATGCACCTTGTTCTGGGGCCGCTTGGCTCCCAACTCCTGATCGATGACGCGAGATCCGGGGTCTCGCTTCCACTCTTGCAGATAGCTATCAAGACAGCTGCCGAGAGTATCATAAGCAGGGGCCCTAGACTGCCAGGCTCCTGTAGTGACGAGTCCTCTTGCGTTG